GAAGCTCCCCCGGGACAGGGCATGCTGCTCCGAAGCATCTGGCACTATTCCAGCATTAAGCACCAATTTCCAGCTTCCTCTTAGGAAAAGTCCACAAGTCGGCCAGGTCCCTGGCCTCCACAGGGCCTGTCCTTTGTGAGGTAAACAGATGGGTGGCGGGTCAGAGTTTTGAGGGATGACCTTCACGGTTTTGTTCCTCTGACATGTTCCCCACAGAACGGGTAGCCGGTGCTCTAGAGAAAGGATCGAGACCAGTGGGACTGAAGTCCATTGAGTGTTTCCACGGCTGTCATTTTTGGGGCAGCAGAGCAATTGGTGGGTTCAAACCACCAACCTTCCCCTTAGCAGCCAGGCCTTAGCCCCTGTGCCACCAGGGCTCAAAACCAAGCCAAATTAAATCAGGCAGAGGCGGATCTTGCTGAACATTACATAAAAATTCTAATCAAAATGAGCTAAACCAAACGTGCTATCTTTGAGTCACTGCCGACTCACAGCAACCCCCGGTGGGTTTCAGAGACTGTCACTGTTTATGGGAGTAGAAAGCCCAGTCTTTCTCCAGAGGAACTGCTGGTGGTTTCAAACTGCCGACCATGCAGATCACAGCCCAACAGGTAACCACCTCACCACCAGGGCTCCTTGAGGATATGAATAGTACCAACTTTATACAATCGTTGTTAGGAGACTGAAGAAGATAATGCATGCTAAATGCTTAGCCCAGAGACTAATAGGTTTTCACCAGTCAGCAAAGTGGATGGAAGGAGCTTGGCCCTGGCTATAGGGAGCTATTGGAGAGGGACAGGGAGAGGCTCTATCCAACCGCTCGGGGGCTGCGTCCCCGTGCCAGTGTGTACAGAGGTAGTGTGAAATGCCAACCTTGGGGCTAGTTGCTCAAAAAAAGGTTAAAGTCTGAGTGCCTGAGGGCCATGTGAGAAAGCAATCAGTCTGTGAGGAGAAAGACCCCCAGGCAGCCTATGGGGACAGGTGACGTGAGCCCAGCCCTCGGCCCTTTAGGGAGAGAAAAGTGATACAGGCCATCCAAGGTCACAGAAAACCAGGCAAATCGGCGGAGACTTAGAATGAGTGAGAAGCTGTAACAAGCAGAGACCAGCGACCAAGTGGCTTGATGCACTGAGCAGGGACTCAAAGTCAAACCAGTGGCACCACGGGGATAACAACCCAGACGAGCCGTACATTACAGAGCAAGGCTGCTCCATGGGCTTGTGACTGTCATCTTCATGGAAGCAGATCACCAGGCCTTTCTTCCACCGTGCCACGGGGTTGGTTCGAACCACAAACCTTTAGCTCAATAGCTGAACATAAACCCGTTGTGCACCAGAGACCCGTAGTCAGGCAGGCAGGATTTGTTGCCCTTTTTGTGCTCTCCAGCTGCGTGACTCTGAGCAAATTCCTAATCCCTCTCGAATATCCATTCGTCTAAATCTGGGGTGTCAGACTGGCCCGCACTGCTCTGAAATAAAATGAAAATAGAAAAAATTGTTATGAAGAAACTAACGCTTAGGGGAGATCGAGGCAATACCATGCACACAACTCTCACATTACATTTTATTTCAGAGCATCATGGGCCACAAAAAATTACCTTGGGGGCCACACGCGGCCCGTGGGCCAGCAGTTGACACCCCTGGTCTAAGTCGATCGAGATGGAGCTAACAATACCCAGTTTCGATGAGTTTGGAGGGAGAGCAAGATGAGGAGAGCAAAAGGCTCCCTGCTCCTCAGGAAACGCCTTTTTTCCCACCCGAGATCTGCAGGTTTAGACCCGTGCAGCAGAGGCTTGGAGAAGTTGGACGATTGATAGGCACGTGGGTACCCAGATGCACTGCACGCATCTGGGAGCTCGGGGCAACCGCAGCACAGTTACAGAATCCACAGCCGGTGGAATGGACTTGCTAATGTGCTGTCTGCCCTGCCACACTGGTCTGAACAGGATGACGCAACCTAGTAAATGCAACAGGTGAGGCAGGCTGGGCAAGGCAGGCTGGCAGCAGACTCCCCAGGATCCGTGTTGCCTTTGTTGTATCAGGCATGCTGCAAGGCGGTGAGCAACAGTTACTGGAGCAAGCCTTGTTTCCTCTCAGAGCTGGAGAGGATGGGCTGGCACAACATCTTTTCACAATTATCACAATGGTTGTCAACTCTTCCTAAAAGAAAATACTCACCAGGATTTTGTGTGTGTGTAATTCCTTATTTTTAAAACTTAATTTAAGGCCACAGCTGTTTCAGGTTTTTCCTATAAGAATTTAATTGGTATGTAATTGCATAGTTAATTAAATACAAATCAATAGTTTAAAACAACTAATTGATACTTAATATGAATGGGAGAAAACTTCGTTCTCATATAATTAACTCATATTAAATAAGCAATAAAATAGCAATTATGTCTTACAGCAATGTAAAGTTTATAGTTCCTTTAATAAACTTAGACTCAGCCAGCGGTGAGATTCGAAAATTATTAAACAGGTATTATTGGACTGTTAAACATTTATTACTTGTCCTTTGGGCCAGAACCAGGCAGTAGTCAGGACAAATAGGCCTTTACTACTCCTTTGTACAGGCCTCTTCGCTCGAGGTGGCTCAGAAACCTGTGTTCTTTGTGTAATTCACGGGCATCTTTGTTGCCTGTAAGGTGCGTAATTATTCTGAAAACAGGATGAGGCAGAAAGCAGGACCTTGGCCAAAGCAAGAGATTCCTAGAATCGGTGAGGTGTCCCTGGGCAGAATGGCCGCGGAGGAAAGCCATCAACAGAGATACAAAGACAAGGCAAAATACCACACAGGTCTCCATCTTCCGGGCCTTGAGGAGGCTTCCCAGGCTGCCTCACAGCCTGCAGATGGCTCCCTCCTCTGGCCCCACAGTTAGGACTGCCATTCCCATGGAAACCATTGGTACGCTGTCATGTGACTATTTTCCCTAAACTCTTCCGTGTCTTTGACTTTGACGTACCTCTTCACAAGTGCATGCCTTGCATAACCAACTGGATAATAATCCCTTTGGGATAAGAAATTTGTCTCACGATTTTTGCTTCACGCGTCGTGCCTGGCACTTAGTAGACCCTCAATGAACCTTTGAGGATCGGACTCTATGCCTGTCACACACTATCAGTGCATCTCAGTTGTGGAAGGATGATGTCGGTACTTAAGAAACCAGTTGTCACCAAGTCAAGGCTGATGCCACAGGTACCAGAGTAAAGTCGTGCTCCACAGGGGCTTTCTGTGGCTGCTATTTGGAAGCATTTCTTCCATGGAAACTCTGGGCGGACTGGCGGTCCTGCCTTGTGTTTAGCAGCTTGGTGCATTAAGCATTTGCACCATCCAGGAACTCCAGCATGTATGAATCTACTCAAATCATCCCATCTTATTCCTCCATAAATACAGCTGGCTAACAAGGTATTTTGTCAGTGGTGCACTCCAGCTCAAATGATCCACCCTAGCACCTCAAATACAGGAAGTCCAAGCGTGCACTGCTCGCCCACCTCTTTCCAAATGAGGACCCGGAGGTCATCCCTGGCCCCTGCCTTGCTTGATCGCATCTGCCCTTCAGTCCCCTTGTTTTTTCCTACATAACCTGCTGCAGAGGCATCCTATCTATCCAGGCCTAACTGGTAACAGCTCCAGTCTTCGGACGATTCTCCCTACCTCTCTGACTTCTCCAGTCCATTGTATGAGCTGCGGCCACCCTAACTTCCAAAGAATACCATTTAGTGCTTCACTGGATGACCTTGGAGAAATCATTTTACCTCTCTGGGTCTACAGTTATTTGTCACACAAAATGGGGAGAGGGTGAAGTTGATGATCTTGAACCTCAGCTCTTATAGCTTGTTACTAGTGAATTGAATTCACTTGTATTAGATTCTTTGTTCTAGATACTTTTCTTCACATGCTGCCCTATTGTGTTTCCATAGTCACAATGTGAAGTGGGCTTTGCTATTAGTATCAACAATTTGCTTGTTGAAAACCCTTGCCCACCTGAAGCTGTTAGATAGCTGCATGCCCTAGAAACCTGTCAAATGAGAAAGGAAGTACTACTGGAAGTAAGTTTTGTTTGGCTATAGCAAAGGTTGGTGGGCACAGAATGTTCTATGAGGCTAGAGATATAGCCATGGACCCTCTAGAGCAGGGGTCCTCAAACTTTTTAAACAGGGAGCCAGTTCACTGTCCCTCAGACCGATGGAGGGCTGGACTACAGTTTTTTTTTTTAAAAACTATGAACAAATTCTTATACACATGGCACATTTTTTTTAAGGGTGGAGACAGACCCAGTCATGGGCACGGCGGCCTGCTGGGTCTCCTTGCTTTATTAGTTTCCAGCCGATCAGTTCAGAAAGCTGGAGAGGGTGAGGCTGCCACCAGGAGCTCTGGACGTCCTCTCCTGGGGCAGGCTTGGTAGGTACAGACTGTGGGACAAGACCTCCCAGGCCCCACCGGGGACTGGTAGGAAGACCATGGATCAGTGGCTGCTCTCCCACACAGATGGAGACCTGGGACTCAGGGGTTGTGCCAGGGGCCTGCATGCCCCAGCAGGTCACAGACCACCAGTGCCCTGGTGAGCCTGGAAGGATGTGACCAGACCGATTCATGCAGTGACCGGGCTGGAGCCACCAACTGGGACATGGGCTTGTAGTGGTTGCATCTGCTGACACAACCTAGGGGGTCAGCATGGGCCCTAGTGAGGGCTGGAGCCCCTTTGGGAATTGGGGCTCATAGGGGTGAGACCACACAGGCAGGGAAGGGCCGCCAGACTAGGGAGGGAAGCCAAGGGTGTTATGTCTTTCAAGACACAGACACCCTAAGACCAGAGTCCCAGCCTCGAGCCTCGGAGGCCAAGATGAACCAGCCCTCGGCCCCATCCTGGCCCAGGGGGTAGGGTCGTCAGGAAACACCGCCCCCCCCCCCAATCCAGCCCTCCCTGCCTGAGGTCAGTAGGCTGTAGTTCTAAAGGGGGGTGACCAATGCCTGTGGCTGCTTGGGGTTGGCCTGCCCGGTTACTTCCCCTGAGAGGCAGATTTGTTGCCTTTAGGGATGGACTTCAGGGAGCTGCTGAATATTCGTAAGCGGGACTGCCCCCGCTTGGGGCCATCATTGAGGAACTCGTGGCCAAGCCCATGGCCGCATTTACCGCAGGACACCGTCGTAAAGGCATCAGGCTGATTGTGTTGGGGCCACTTGGCCACGCTATCATCGTGGATGGTCCCCGTGAAGGCTGGCCATGGCGACAAGTGCTCGTGCTTGGAGCGGCTGGAGAACAGCTCGTAGCCACACTTAGCACACATGTAGACATTCTGGAAAATCTTGCCCTGGAGAAGCTGCAGAAAGACAGAGTGCCACCAGGTTCCCGTCCCGCTCTCACACTCCGACAGCTCCGAGTGCACGGACCCCACCGCACATATTTTATTTGAAGTAAAAAACCAAAACAGACAAAAGCACCCGGCAGGCTGGATAAATGTCCTTGGCAGGCCACATGTGGCCCAAAGGCCATAGTTTGAAGACCCCTGCTCTAGAGCCTGGATTACCAAGTAAGGCTGGCCAAGCATGATGAGACCCAGGCTTCTTACTCGGGGCACATCCTCAGGACTCATCACGAGACAGGGACATCATGGCTCGTAGAGAGCCATCCACAATGAGGACAAGTTCCAATGAGATGGATTGATGCAGTAGCCTCAGCAGTGGATTCAAACAGAGCAAACTTGTGAGGAGAGTACAGGGCCCGGCCTGGTTCATTCTGTTGTACGTAAGATCTCCATGAGTGTAAGAGGGGAAAATAATAATAATTTATAATTTATCAAGGGGTCACAAGGGTGGTTGGGGTGGGGGATAAAAGAGGAGCTGATACCAAGGGTTCAAGTAGAAAGTAAATGTTTAGAAAATAATGATGGCAACATATGTATGCTTGATACAAGTGATGTATGGATTGTTAGAAGACTTGTAAGAGAGCCCTTAATAAAATGATTTTAAAAAAAGACTTGTAAGAGCCCCCAATAAAATGATCTTTTAAAAAAAAAAAGATCTCCATGAGTCAGAGCAGACTTGATGGCAAGTAAAAGCATCAAGCAGCAATAATGTATGCCTCTCATACTTCACGGAGCTGCTGTGAGCACCTAATGAAATAGTGACGGTGACAGCATTATAAAAAATCAGTGTCCTATAAATACGAGATAATAAACTGTGTCGTTATCATTCAGCATAAAAACCAAGGAGTCCAAAGCTTAAGAAGAGGTCCCAACCACATCGTCTGAAAGAGAGGAAAGCCATCCTTTTTATTACATCAAAATGCCACATTTAATAAACGGAGACTAGGCTTTTAAAAACAGTACAGAGAAGTGAACACAATAAAGAGGAGGCGTCTAAAAGTATTGCTACAAAATTATAGCAGCCTTTATAAACACAAATATCAAAATGTAAGGCCGTTCTTATAGATCTTCCATCTAGGCTTACACACTTCTGAAGTCTGAGTTTTCTTTTATTAACCATTTCATGCACCCGTATTTCATCTATCCCATAGTTCAATCGTTCAGTCACATTACAGAGCATCGCACCATCGTCACCACCATCTCTTCTTTCTGGTTGCCATTCGATACCATCTGGTCAGCTCGGCCATACGATGGCCCGACGCACAACAGAACGAACACTGCCCAGGCCTGCGCCATCCTCACAATTGTTCCACTTCTTGAACCCACTGCTGCAGCCACTGTGTCAACCCATCTCCTGGAGGGTTCTCCCCTTCTTCATGCCCCTCTACTTACCAAACACGCTGTCCTTCTCCGGGGATGGCTCTCTCCTGACAGCATGTCCAAACATGGACAAGTATGTAAGACGAAGAATCGCCATCCTTGCCTTCAAAGAGCACTCTAGTCGTACTTCTTCCAAGACAGATTGGGTTGTCCTTTTAGCTGTCCAGAGT